GTGCAGCGGGTCAGACGCGGGGCTTGGCAGGGGCCTGTCCCGGGCTCTGCCCCTGCTCTGCACCCCCGGGAAGCCGGAGCGCCCCACCCTCGCACCGCGGAGCCCGCGCCCCCGGGTGCCGTGCTGGGACAGGGCCCACAGCCCCTCCTGCCGCGCAGGCCTGGAGGGACGCCGGGCTCCCGCTGTCCACCACCAGCAACGAGGCCTGCAGGCTGTTCGACGCCACCCTGACCCAGGTAGGCCGACCCGGAGGCCGCTGGCAGGGGCGCGGGAAAGCGGGGGCCCGGCGAGAGCGTGGGGCGCCCCGGAGGCGGGGCTCAGGCAGGCCTCTCCGGCCCCCCAGAGCGGGCTTTGCTGCTCTCCGGAAGATGGGCGAGGGGGCAGACGGCCCCGGGCGCTGAGGCGCTGCTGCGCTGGGCCGGCGCCTTCGGGGTGCCTTCGAAGGACCCCTTGCCGGCCGGAGGCCTCCGGTCGCTGGTCACTCTACAGCAGCGGTCACCACCCCGGGGAGCGCCGGGAGCGTGCTCGACGCAGGGGCCTCGGCAGCCGCGGGTCAGCGCCGCCCTCTGGTTGCAGTATGTGAAGTGGACCAATGACCGGAGCCTCGGGGGCATCGAGGGCTGCCTGGCCAAGCTCAGAGCCGCGGACCCCGCCTTCGGTGAGCCTTGCGGCCTGCCCCCGGCCGGGCCGGGCCGAGCTCTCGGCAGCGGCCACGCCACCCCCCGCAGGGAGGGGCGGCTCCCTCCAGGGCGGCGGGCAGCGTGCACCAGCCCAGGAGGAGACAGGCCGTTCCCTTCCCGGGCCAGATGAGCTGGAGGAGGTGCCAGGCTGGCGGTCCAGGGCCCGCCGGGTGCGGGCCCGGGGCATGAGGTGGCCTCTCGGGCCAGCAGGGCCCCAGCCGAAGCGCGGGCCGGGGGCTGGCACAGGGCCGGCTGGCATCACGGCCAAGCGCGGGCCAGCCTGGTGGCCGTGGGGGCCCGGGAGGCTGGGGTCCGGCCTGGGAAGAGGCTGAGGAGCGGGACAGCAGTGTGCCGTGACCAAGGCGGGTCGGGCGACACGGCCGGGAAGGGGGCACCCACCCAGGAGGGCGGGGTCAGGTAGCCCAGGGTGGGCTGAGGAGAGGCCGGGCCGTGTCAGACACGGGCATCCAGCTGGGCCGGTGGCTGGAGCCCCCGGGGCCAGCGGGCACCGCCTCGGTCAGGGCAGGGACGGGAGGCCGGGTCCGCCTGGGCTGATGCCCACCCACTCGGCCACGAGCCCGCCCTGCCCCTCCCCGGCCCTCCCACTCAGGGCCCAGTGGGCTCTGCACCCGCCCCTGGAGGTCCAGCTGGTGGTAGGACGCCGCCGGCTGGCGGG